TAATCCGAGTGTTGAGGTGATTAGTCGATTGATTTGCATTTGTTTTTCATTGCGTTGTTGGTTCATCGTATTGTTTGATGGTCGATGTTTTTCATAAGAATTATTTCGGTTGATTCAAGTCTTAAGGAGGTGAGTTAATTGTACGAGTGAGTAATGTGACTGAATTGAAGAATCAGCGAGTTGAGTCAGCGTTTCGTGCAACGCGAATCAAAATGTGGCGCATAACGGAGCATCAGAATGAAATTAATAACAATCGATTCTTATTTCAATTCGAATATTTGATAGCGAAAGATACTTTCGAATGGATTACTTTCATCACAAATCAGGTGATTCCTTGGAAGCTTACTCTGATTTGTCGCTCTTTATTATACTTTCATCACTGTAAACATTTTTGTTATTATTATTATTATTTTGGTAATATCATTGTGTTTGTTAACAGAATATTTGTTGTAGGCGATATTGTTATCGTTATTGTTACAGTCGATAGGGATCGAGATACTGAAGGAACACAACAGCGCTTCAGTAGGTTTTTCTTGTTCAGTGAAATGCTGGTGATGAGAGGGTAATATTGATGAAACTTTAGTTCGACAGTTTTGATTACGAGCGATCGAATAAGAATGGGTCATTGCNGAATTTGAAGTTTGTCGTCTTTACCTTTATTTTCTTGATACTGTTCATCCTTCACTGAAATTACGTTGATAGGACGCGTATTTACGGAAATGACGTCTAGTAGTGATAATTTTAACGATAATGTGTAATTTAGAGTGCTCATTCAATGAATAAATCAACATCGAACGGTAATATTGACCAAATGGATGTGAGCTTGAATGCGAATAAAATGTTGAGTAATGCAAAAGATTCAATCAGCAATCAGAGTGCATCGAATTCATACGAATCGTTGACGGATTTATTCAATACGATTTCGGTTCGTTGCTCAATCTGTTTTGTCAACGTTATTTCATCATTTTATTAATAGTTTTGTTAAGCAGTTGGATAAAGTTTTGTTTTCAGAATGAATTGCCTGCGCATGAAAATCGAGTATTCAATATAACGGATGATGATCTGTGATGGCTGGTATTGCTGGTTATATTTATTGTGTAATTGGATATATTTTATTAATGCACTATCATATTATTCAGTATTATTATTATGTTCAGTTTGCGTCAATTTTATCATTCATTTCAACTTTTGCCATTTTATTGCCTAGTA